GGGGGGGGTGCTGGGGGTGGTGCTGCTGATGGTGCTGTTGATGGTCGTTATGCTGCTGCTGTTGCTGTTGCTGTTGCTGTTGCTGCTGCTGCTGCGGTTGGTTTGTACTGCATTGGTTTAATGTTGGGTTTGCTGCTGCTGCTGCTGCTGCTGCTGTTTGCTGCTGCAGTGTACAACCACTGGGGAACGAAGTTTGGTGGGAGAAGGAAAAAGGTTTGTCTTGCTGCTGCTGCTCTCCCTCCTGCTGCTGCTTGCTGCTGCTGTCTGCTTGCTGCTGCTGCTGCTGGTGTCTCCTTGCTGCTGTTGTTTTATTATTTATTATATATGTATACCTTTCTCTTTTTTATGTGTCTCTTTTTTGTCTCCTTTTTTGTCTCCTTTTTTCTTTTGTCTTGACATCGTATTTTTGCTGCTGCTGCAGTTGCTGCTGCTGCTGCTGCAGTTGCTGCTCCTGCTGCTGCTGCTGCTAATGAGGTGTCTCTATTGTGTCTCCTTTTTCTTTGCTTAGGTTTAGTGCTGCAGCTATGGGATAGAAGACAAGCAAAGATTGCTGCAGGTCTGTTTGTGTCCCCTTAGCAGCAGCAGCTGCTGCTGCTGCTGCTAATGTTGCTGTTGCTGCAGTTCGTGTTTCCTGTTGTTATTTATGGTTGCAGTACTTGCTACATCTGTTGCTGCTGCTGCTGCTGCTGCTGTTGGGGTGTATATGCAGTTCTTGCTGCAGCAGATTTAGAAGAACAATTTGTCCGCATTGACCATATACAACCTTCAGAAACATATATACTGTACGCTGCTGCTGCTGCTGCTGCTGCTGCTGCTGCTGCTGCTGCTGCTGCTGCTGCTGTTGCTGTTGGTGTTGGTGTTGTTGTTGGTGTTGTTGTTGCTGCTGCTGTTGCTGATATTGTTGTTGGTGGTGTTGCTGTTGCTGCTGAGATTGTTGTTGTTGTTGCTGCTGCTGCTGAGGTTGTTGTTGCTGCTGCTGCTGCTGGCGGTGGTGGAGGAGATGCAGCAATACTTGTATCTATTGTATATATTGCTGCTGCTGTTGCCGCTGCTGCTGCTGCTGCTGTTGCTGCTGCTGCAGGTCACACATGCGAATGGATGATTGAGGGTGGGGTTTTTGCTTTCTCTTTTGTTGCTGCTGCTGCTGCCTGTGAAGTAGCAGCAGCAGCAGCAGCAGCATAAAGGGATAACAGCAGCAGCAGCAGCAGCGCAGCGGGCGCTCAGCTAGCAGTTCGTTGCTGCTGCAGCTGCAGCAGCAGTTGCTGCAGCAGCAGCTGCTGCTGCTTAATTATATAAACCGCACAACAGTCCTGCCTGTATCTGGTGCTTTTAATTTGGAGCTGTACGCACTTGCTGCTGCTGCTGCTGCTGCTGCTGCTGCTGCTGCTTGTTGCTGTTGGTGCTGCTGCTGCTGCTGCTGCTGCTGCTGCTGTGGGGCATAAGGGAGACAGTCAGCTGCTTAGAGAGCAGCAAGAGGAAGAGACAGAAGGGGAGACAGTAGAGACACAAATGCAGTCTTACAAGTAGCAGCAGCAGCAGCAGCAACAACAACAACAGTAGGAGCAGCAGCAGCAGCAACAACAGCAGAGGTTGGAGGAGAAGCAGCATCAATACACCTAGATAAACAAAAGGAGACACAGCAGCAGCCAATAACAATTGCTGCTGCATTCAGGTGTACAGGCACGTCACGCATCGTGTCTCCCTATTAGCTGCAGCTAGCTGCAGCTAGCTGCAGCAGCTAGCGGTGCAGCTAGCGGTGTAGCTAGTCGTAGCTAGCTAGCAGCAGCTAGGTGTATAGACAGCTAGCTGTATAGACAGCTAGCTAGCTGTAAGGTAAGGGGGTAAGAAATATAATAAGAGGAAGGGAGGAGGAAGGAGATATATATAAACCCTCATAAGGAGGTGCCTATACACCTCAATAAGTCGTAAAAATTAGGGTTTATAAGAAAAAAGGGTTTAGGGTTTAGACAGAAGAATTAGGGTTTCGGTCGAGGGTCTAGTTCAGGGTCTAAGACTTAGACTCCTAGGGTTTAGGGTCTAAGCCCTAGATGTTGAGGGTTTAGGGTTTAGGGTCTAGACTCCCAGGGTTTAGGGTTTAAGGTCTACAGTATTAGGGTTTAGGGTTTAGACCCTAGACACTTAGGGTTTAGGGTTTAGGGTTTAGACGTTGTTGGTAGGTTGTTTGTCCCCATATGTTGTTGCTTTTGTAACATATATTGAGGTGTACGTACACCTCAATATAGTGTTTAGGGTTTAGGGTTTAGTGTTTAGGGTGCACGTACACCTGAATATATTGTGTGGGGGAGGAGGAGGGTTTGTTGCGTTATGCTTTTGTTGTTGTTGTTTACGGTGTATATACAGTAAATAAATATAAATAATAAAATTAATTATTTACTTTCTTGTTGCTTTTCTTTTTTTCCTTTATCCGTGCATGCAAGGATGCATGCATAGAAAGGGTTTAGGGTTTAGGGTTTAGAGGTATGGATAAAAAGGTTATTAAGGTGTATATAAACCTAAAATAGCTGCCTATACACCCTAATTATATATAAATAATTATAATTATATTTAGTTAATTAGTTGTTTAGGGTTTGGGGCTGTTTGGCTGGCGGCTCTCTCTGCATGCAGTCCGACGAAACCCTCAATAACGAAGCCCTAAACCCTAAACCCTAAACCCTAAACCCTAAACCCCAAACCCTAAACCCTAAACCTGCTTCTTTAATAGGAACAAAGTTGTCATAAGCAGGAGATGATTGTCTGTGGTTTTACATCCAGACAGCAGCATTGGGACACGTACAGACCAGGGGAGCCCTAAACCCTAAACCCTAAACCCTAAACCCTAAACCCTAAACCCTATTTTTCATCATGCAGGTTGTATAGGTTATAAACCCTAAACCCTTAACAATTGTTAGGTTGTTGTGTGTCGCTTCTTTGTATACAAGGAGCTATTTCTTTCCCTCCCTTCCCTTCTATTTAAGGGTTTAGGGTTTAGGGTTTAGGGTTTATATTCTTCTTCTTTTCTTATTCTTTCTTGTCTATAAGAAGGTCTTGAGGGGCCCCCAACCACTACAACTAAACCCTCATGTAGATGGGGCCCCGTGGGGCCCCGCCTTAGTGCCTTCTGAGGGCAGCAGCAGCAGCAGCAGCAGCAGCAGAAGCAGCAGCAGCAACAACAACTTCACCATCACCAACATCAGCAATTGCTGCACCACCAGTGCCATCAGCAGCACTAGCAGCAGCAGCAGAAGCAGCAGAAGCAGCAGCAGAAGCAGAAGCAGCAGCAGCAGTGCGTGGGGTCTCCCCCAAGTTTAGTATATAAGAGTACCATCTCTACTCTCCTTGCAGCAAGCCCTCCAGCAGCAGCAGCAGCAGCTACAGCAGCAGCAATAGCTGCAGCAGCAGCAACAGCAATAGCTGCAGCAGTAGCTGCAGCAGCAGCAACAGCAGCAGCAGCAAGATGGACAGCAGCGACAGCTGTCGGCCTGTGGGGCCCAAGGAGTGTAAAGACAGTGCTTTAGCAGCAACAATGCAGCAGCAGCAGCAACAGCAGCAGCAGCAGCAGGATTTAGCTGCAGGAGACGGTGGTACACCTGCTGCAGCAGCAGCTACTGATGAGACAGCAGCAGCAGCAGCAGCAGCAAAGCATTGCGTCAAGGAAGAGAAGCAGTTGCATGCAGCAGCAACAGAGGCAGCAACAGCAGCAGAACCTTCGGATGGAAAGGCAGCAGATTCTACTGCAGCAACTAAAAGCGAAGCAGCAGCAGCAGCAGCAAATAGTGCAGCAGCAGCAGCAGCAGCAGCAGCAAAAGAAGAGCCACCTATGGATGGTGATGGCGCTGCAGCAGCAAAAACAGAAGATGCAGCAGCAGCAGCAGCAGAACAACATGTGAAGCAGGAAGACACTGCTGCTGCTGCTGTGTCTCCTTCTTCTGCAGCAGCAGAAACAGCAGCAACAGCAGCAGCAGCAGCAGCAGCAGCAGCAGATAGTGACGATTCATCTTGTGTTTCTCGAGGAGACACGTCCCCTACTGCAGAAGGAGACACAGCAACAGCAACATCCCCAGCAGCAGCAGCAGGAGCAGCAGGAGCAGGAGAAGCAGCAGCAGTACAATCCCCATCATCATCATCATCATCAGCAACAAAAGCAGCAGGAAGATCAGCATTATCAGCAACACCAGCAGCAGCAACAGCAGCAGCAGCAGCAGCAGCAGCAGCAGCAGCAGCAGCAGCAGGATTAGAGGAACGTATACCTGGTGTATATGTAAATATGTTAGGTAATTATAATAAAAAATTAAATCCTCGTGTGTCTCTTCTGTCTCCTCCTGATCTAATTAAGGAATATATGCATAATATATTTATACCTTTGCTGCAGCAAGCTAGACAGCAACAATATAAGAGGAGACACAAGCAGCAGCAGCAGCAGCAGCAACAGCAACAGCAGCAGCAGCAGAGGAGAAAGACACCTCTCTTGCTGCACTTACAGGAAGAAAGACACGATAGTTCTGCAGGAGACACAACAGCAGCAGAACCATCAGGAGACGAACCTAATAAACAACAACAGCAGCAACAGCAACAGCAACAGGAGCAGCAGCAGCAGGAGCAGCAGCAGCAAGAGGAAGAAGAAGAAGAAGTGTGCCTGCTGCATCCCCTGAATAGTCTCCCCCTCCAATGCCGTCGTGTTAAATTGTATGAAGTAGATTTAGAGACAGGTTGTTGGGTAGATAAGGGGACAGGACATTTTTATGTTATAGAAGGAGACAATCCTGATTTACCTGAGCAGCAGCAACAGCAGCAACAGCAGCAGCAGCAACAAGGAGAACAGCAGATTCATACTCAGCAACATATAACGAATACAACAAGTGGTGATGAGGCAGACACAGCTGCTGGCGTTCATGCTGCACAAAAAACAGCAGCAGCAACAGCAGCAGAAACAGCAGCAGCAGCAGCAGCAGCAGCAGCAGCAGAGGTCCAATATAGTAGACTAGTAGTAGAGGAAGAAATAAGTGGTGAATTTGTTGTTAATACAAAAATAATATTTAATTCCTTATACCAGCACCAGAAGGATAGTATAATTACATGGCAAGAAGGGAGACAGCAGCAGCAGCAGCAGCAGCAGCAGCAAGACAACAACAACAGCAGCAGCAGCAGCAACAGCAAAGGAGACAGCTATAGGGCCTTATCCTTCCAGCACCCTCATGGATGCTTCTCCTTATGGTCTTATATTTACCTCCTGTCTCCTGATAATTGTGCAGGTAGTATGAGTGATGATGAGGAAGAGGAGACAGCAGCAGCAGCAGCAGCAGCAGCAGGAACAGCAGGAACAGGAACTGCAACAACTGCAGGAACAGATAGTCATGGTGCAGCAGGTGCAGCAGGTGCAGCAGCAGCAACATCGGCAGGGAGAGGAGATCATTCATTAGATCCTCATAGTAGTAATTCTGCTGCTGCTGCTGCTGCTGCTGCTGCAGCAGGAGGAGACACAGATCTATCGCTGCTGCGAGGAGACAGTTTGTGGGGTGATGGATGTATGGATGGAGACAGTGACCTATTGACTAGCAGCAGCAGCAGCAGCAGCAGCAGCAATAATACATTAGAGACACCAACTGTCTCCTCGTTGCCGCTGCTGCTGCAGCGAATTGAATGCGAGCTGCAGCACCCTCAGCTGTCTCTGCAGCTGCAGCAGCAACTAATAAATAAAAAATTCTTCTCTTCTTTCTTTAATCTTATGCATCTACTTATTCATCACCTAGAAGGAGACAAAGGAGGAGACAAGGGAGGAGACAAGGGAGGAGACAAGGGAGGAGACAAGGGAGGAGGGAGTAAACCTTCTTCTCCTACTAATGCTGCTACTGCTGCTGCTGCTGCTGCTGAAACCACCACCACCACCACCACCAGCAGCAGCAGCAGCAGCAGCAGCAGCAGCAGGGATGGTGTTAGTGATGGTGATGTTGATACAGGGAAAGAAGCATCATCATCAGGAGACACAACAGCAGCAGCAACAGCAGCAGCAACAGCAGGAGCAGCAGCAGCAAACAGCAGCAGCAGCAGCAGGAGCAGGAGAGAAGGATCATTATCTCCTTCTTCTTCTTCTTCTTCTTCCTCCTCCTCCTCCTCTGTATGGGGTTCTTATGAGGAGACAGGAGCAGGGGAAGTAACAGGAGCAGCAGGAGCAGCAGCAGCAGCAGCAGCAGGTGTATCATTATTAAGTAAAGAAGAAGCAAGAGAATATCTTGAATTGATGGCATTAATAATAAGAAGAATATTAATATATTATGCAGGAAAAGGAGACACATTATTATTGTCTCCTTTATTAATAAATAATTATTTATTTATTAATATACTTACTTGTCTTGAGTATGATAAGGATATCTTGTTCTTATCTCATACACAATTCTTCCAGCAAGTACAATTCCATCATGTATTATCTGCAGATAGCAGCAGCAGCAGCAGCAGCAAGTGCAGCAGCAGCAGCAGCAGCAGCAGCAGCAGCAGTAGTAGTAGTAGTAGTAGTAGTAGTAGTAAGAAAAAGATGGGTAGTAATAATGATCCTGGTGATGATATAAGACAATCAATACATGAGGAGAAAGAAGAAGAAGAGGAGAATAAGAATAAAGAAGAAGATCGTCAGCAGCAGCAGCAGCAGCAGCAGCAACAGCAGCAACAGCAGCAACAGGAGGAAGAATTATTAGAATGTATACATTATCATTATAGATTAATGTATATAAGAGATGTTATTCTTAATCGTTACTTAGATGAATCATCTATTCATCATCTTACTCATCTTCTTCATCATAACGGTCATCATATTATCTATTTAATTAGTCAATTATCTCCTCCTGCTGCTGCTGCTGCTGCTGCTGCTGATAGTAGCAGTAGCAGCAGCAGCAGCAGCAGCAGCAATAATAATAATAATAATAATAATGGTGGGGCAGGAAAAGGGGCACTATATATGATTAAGGAGAGACTAGGGTATGATTATTATTGTTTATTATTTGTTAGGGAATTGCTGTCTTTGTTGCAGAAATTATCTGCAAATAGCAGCAACTGCAGCAGCAGCAGCAGCAGCAGCAATTGCAGCAGCAGTAATTGTAATAATAATAATATAAATAATATTATATCTTCTTCTTCTTCTTTATTATATAATAATGATTATAATAATACATTAAATAATAATTATATTAATAATAATATAATTAATATAAATAATAATAATAATAATAATAATAATAATAAATATAATTATAATTCTTCTTATTCCTTATTTAATTTATTTCTTCTTATAAGAGACACGGGGCTGCTGCTGCAGCTAAAGGGATACCTAAAAGGAGACACTATATCTAATCAAATGTATAACCAACTTATTCAGCCCCTTAATCAGCAACAAGAACAGGTAAGCTGCATGCATGCGTATGCATGCATGCGTATGCATATGCATATGCATATGCATATGCATGCATGTCTGTGTGTTTGCATGCATGCATGTGTATGTATTTATTTATGTATGTATATTATTGATGTCTTATCTATGGATAATTAGCTATATATATATATATATATATATATA